TGCACAGCGTCAGCGTCCCCCGTTCCTTTTTTAGGGTTACATCAGTTTTTCCCCTTTTTTCTTTCCCACTTTGACGTTCATACAAAAGCGCCTGGAAAGCATCACCCATTTTGGTAAACTGAAACAGAGGCGTGTCGTAGGGACAATCCCTCATTTTAGCGACGAGCTAGTCAATATCGGACATTTCGAGCGCACACGTTGGCGTCGTTTACTTGGGCATCCAAATTGCAGGTTCAGCAACACTTGGAATACGTCCCCTTTAGTTCCAATGGAACGTGTTAGAAGTCTTCCAATTGGAGACTGACGCGTCATATACATGTGCTTAAAGTGAGTGCCACAATGGCAAGGGTGCTGGAAATGTTATCCCCCACTGGGGTGTGCTCCAATGTGTAAAGGTGTACATCGCGGCATGCCACCTTTTAAGGGGGGAAAGTTTCGCCCATGTAGCCTACAAATGCGCAAGCTTACATTTGAGTAATTTCCCCCTTCTCCTCCCTTTTTTTTTACGCCCCCCGTAGTTATAACGAGTCTGCACAGACGCCGCTAACCGCCCCACCACATAAGCAGCCTGGCCAAATGACAAACCTGAATGTCGAGAGCGGCTACTTCAATGACGAGCTGAAGGAGGAAGCCAACGAGGCAAATTTCATGTACACCAACATAAGTATGCTAATAAGAGCACACAGGAAAGACAGAAATAAACTGACCCTCCAGAATAAAAAATTAAACCTCCTTAAAATAGTCGGCTTCGTATTAGCCATCGAAGAGAAAAAGGAATTTATAGTCTACACAATTGACGACACGACAGGGTACATCAAGGCAAAGTTGCTCTTAACATATTCATACCCTGTGTACAATGATAAAAATGATGACATAAAAATAGACGACATGGTCCAGATCTTTGGTATCTGCAACACAGTCAGCATTAATGAAGACGTAACCATTTCGATAAGTTCAATTAACAAGCTGAATTCACTGAACCATTTGTGTCACCACCACTTGTTGGTCTTCCATAACTACTTAAAATTTGTGGAGACTCAGAAAAAGAACCTGATGCTGGAGGACGAGCGGGCAAAGCAAGAGGAGGATGAAATTGGCTCCCAGGTGCCGACCAACGATAATCCGTTTTTTAACTCGTTCTTTTACTAAGCTGGTGCAGCACGTGTGCAACGAGAGTGCAAGGCGCACATTACCTTTTTGCCCCCTTACTTGGCATAGGAAGCGGCTGTGTGTATAATATTAACCCCCCACACCCTTGGAGCCGCATACGATTTATGCTCCGCACCTTTGTAGGGTGTCCCTGTAGGGTTACACACATTTATATATGCCTAACCTCCCACGACCACCACCCTATCGATGCCAATACGTCGTTTGCGGAAGTATTTATGATACCGTTTTGGCCAAAATAAGCAGTCTATTATACCGCCCCTTTCTCGTGTATTGTATGCATATTTGTTCCCCTCTCTAATTCGCTCACGAACAGAGAAGTTATTGTGTTATATGGTTCCATCTAGTTAGCCACACTTTTGCTAGAAGTAAAAGTGATGAAACGATTACGTGTTCTCCACAAAGCGCATTCTCAATAGGTGGCTGAATGACAGACTCGCATGCCCTGTGCAGATGTTTAGAAATGCACCAACAGTCCTCATAAACGAGACAACACATATCTGGGCGCACTTCCCCCGTGTATTATTTCAAAGCGTTGCAAAGATTTTTATCACTTAACTTCTTTTTCATCTACACACACCTGGAAGTACCTGTCCAGGGGAATAATCACCCACTTTGTCCTTACCCATCTGATTAGTGCACTTTACATAAACATGAAACAACCAAAGGGGGTGTACATTTTGTACCTGAAGTGATGAACAACTTCGGTTCGCATTCCCTTGTTAGGTGAAATTGTATAGCCTTATGCGCCTAGCCTATTTTATGCCCACCTTTCAATATATCATTTAACTATATGTGTGCTTCTGGAAAGATGCACGCCTTTTTTTTTTTTCTTCTTTTTCCCACGTGGGTAATGCCTTTGTATTATTCTTCATTTTAATGGGCCAACATATGTATGGAAATGGCACAGAACTGATACGCAAGATTGTTCCCTGAGAGACAAAGAAACGATTTTTGCCCCTGTTTGAGTCGCTGTGTTTATATCTTAGTTCGATCATTTTGCTCCTCCACTGAGGCGCACGACAAACCGACTCGGAAAGCCCGCATCACGGAGTATTTTCAATTTAGCAAAAATGGGTCCATCTCGGGCGAAGGCGTTCCTACACCCTTGCGGCTTTTCGATGCGTGCACTAAAAATGTTTAAAAAAAAAAAATACAAGGCAAATAATTTTCTTGCCATTCTGGTAACAACGTTTAGAGGCATCATACGGACATGTGCGCTTCTGCATATGTATGTAGATCTATGTGACCATATTTCTGCGTACATATTTTAGTGTATACAAATTTGATTACATGGAGAGCGCTGCGTGGAGACTTCCGCTGCTTCTTTCCCCTCTCTCACAGGCGGGAGATTGACGCGTTTCACGCGTTTAATATGCCCCCTGCGAAGGACACCCTTTCGTAGTTTCGTCCCTACGTGGGTGATTTAGGTCAGTTCATTTGTGGAGTTAAACGCGTGGGGTGCCTCCTACCGATTATCCTGTTGAGTTATACATTCGAGCCGCCGCTTCCTTGAAGATGAATGCGCTGGAAAGGAAGCTGAAGCTGCTCAATTACAACCCCGTGGAGATAGCAACGGACGAGTTCTACTATATGATATTAAAATTGGAAGAAGAGAAAATCCGCCTGTACAAACCAAAGGAGAGGGAAAAAATTAACTACACCAAGGAGAAGAACTACATCGAGCATATTTTGAAATACCTAGAAAAGCTAAACATCAATGTGCGCAATGTTAACAAGACGAATATGCACGAGGTGGGTGTCAGGACGTACATCCTGAACAGCCTAACCACGCTGGCTTTGATCGATGAGTATAAGGACCTCGTGGGCTACGACGAGGGTTGCGGAGAGCAGCGGGATGAGCAGCATGATGAGCAGCGCGGGGATGGGGTAAACGGCCGCCCTGACAATCACGTGGGAAACTCCCAACACACCGCGAACTACAACGCCCCCCTGTCGAACCAAAGCATAATCACAAACTTCTTCGAATTGAATTACCTGAATCAAGCCGAGCTGGAAGAGCAGTGGAAGCGAAGAGACAATCTCAGAGTGATAAACGAACAGATTAACGAAATATTTAAGAAGTGTAAAATCCCTTTACTCGTGTGTAACGACCAGGATGACACCAAGTGGATGTGCCTCATCCTATCGGCGCTACAAGCAATTAAGGAGAAATTGAAAAAAAAAAAAAAAACGAATAACCCGCATTACGAAAGCTTGTTTAATTTTAACATAAAGTTAACCAACACCGATTTGAAGGACTTTGCTTACATCACGAGGTATTTGCTTAACAGTGTGCTGAGGGAGAGGAAGGCCCACCTAAAGGGGGTGCTCAACGATATCCAGATGTTAACGTACAACCCGGTTATAGACATACGACAGGGAAAAGTGGGCAGGTGACGTCGCAGTGGCGCACACGAACTGCAAACAGGAACACCCCACACGGCACCTTCACGCAAGTGTCCATATGGGCGGCGCCTATTTGTGTATACCATTAAGTTCACCCATGTGTATACAGAGAGGTTCACGCTTGTATACACTCGTTTGCACCATCTCGCTATTTGCAAGTCGCCTCAACCCACTGCAACTTCCCCCTTCTTATCAAACGCGAAATGCCTTTTTTCGAATGCAACGCGTAACTCCATATGACATGTCACCGCAATTTGTTCGTTCGGAAAAATGAAAAAAAAAAAAAAAAGGCTCCTCATAGGTAGATTTTTAAAAAAAGAGTAATAAATCAGAGAGGAAAATGTAAGGGGCGCGAAGGGTGGTATTGACTAAAAATTGTTAAAAAAGCTAGGGGTCAAATGGCGCGCACGTGGGGCCAGGTACGCGGTACACACACATACATATATATATATGTATATTCATACATATGTATGAGCGGGCGGAGCTCCTGCGCAACGCTGCACCACACTGGGTCCCCTCCGGTCATAGATCGGGCAAGAGCTCCAACTCTTCTATATGATCGGGTAAATACTTCTGCACATCCTTGTACCTGTCCAAATGCTCCTCGAAGGTGAGAATTTCGGGCTGGTTGGTGTAGACGTACTTATTGGACGTGTTCCTCAAATTATAGGGCACGTCAAATCTGTACTCGTTGCAAATTTTCTTGGCGTTCTTTTCCACAACATAAATGTAGTTACTTTTGGACGATTTGCATAAAACAATGACGGCGTATATTAGCGCCGTCTGACACTCAGGCATCCCTATAGCCATGCATGCATAATGTGTGTTGACACAAATAGACAGTACATCATGATTCGCCAACCCGATGTCCTCAGACGCTATTCGAATTAACCGTCTGCAAATGTATATCGGATCTTCCCCGTTCTTCAATGATTTTGTTAAGTACAAAATAGCTGCTTTGATATTTCCAGCTCTGATACTTTTGTGTAATCCGGAGATGAAGTTAAAATGGTCTAGCTTGTTATCTTTCGATGGGAAGTTCTGCAAAAAATTTATTACATTAGTTAGCTGGATAACTTTTTTTTCACTGTGTCCAGATGATTCCCATTTGTGCAGTTCGCTAAAGTCCTTCGGTTTGAACTGCTTCGTAATCATGTCACAACTTTTTTTTGCTTCCTCCGCGTGTTCCATGTTTCGTTTGTCCTCAATGTCATTTGGATTTGCCTTTTGGAGATCATTTTGACTGTCCTTTTCCAGATCGTTTCGATCGTCCTTTTCAAGATTGCTTCGATTGTCCTTTTGGAGATCGCCTCGATTGTCCCTCCTCTTCTGCTCCTCGCGCTCCATATTCCTAATGGCAAACTCGACGATGTTGATAGCCACCCGGGCGTCCCCACAGGAGTGATTCATTATTATGTTCAAAGCATTGTCCTCAATGTCAATGTCTAGATTGTTAGTTATTCTTTTGATAATTGACGACAGTTCTGTTTTATCATATGGACTCATATATAAATACAAGCACCTCGAACTCAGAGCAGAATTTAAAATATTCATGGGGTTGAAAAGACACGTGGCAAGGAGGTAGAAATAGCCTTTCTTCAAAATTAGCAATAAATACTCTTGCTGACTTTTGTTTAGCCTATTTATATCTTTTATGCACAGAATGGTCTTCTTCTTGAAAAGTTTGTAATTGGTAACTGACTGGTCGTATATCTTTCTGAGTTCATTATTTAAGTTGTTCAGGTGGAACAGCGAGATGAACAGATTTTTGGTTTTATTTTTTATAACATTGACTAGGGAGGACTTTCCTGACCCTGGTGATCCACACAAAATTAAATTAAAATTTAAATCTTCATTCAGTACGGTAGTTAGCAATGGATTTCTCTTGCTTCGAATTTCGTTTATATAGTCTTCCCTGTAAATTGGTCGGTACTGTTTGTGCAAGGGGATGTTACTTTCGCGAGTGTTATCTTCTTTTTTGTTCTTTTTTTCCCTCTTGTATGTGCTGTAGAGAATGTCTAAATCGTCCCCTCCGTTGTTACAACTGTTGGCGTGTTTTCCATGATTCCCACTAGCCTGATTCTGGTCATTGGGGCTATTTTCGTCATTATCCCCCCTGCTGTCTTCTTCATCGCCTTCCGCCCCACTACTACGACCCCCCCTTTCGCTCCTCCCACCAGAGTATTTCCCTAAGGGGTCTTTTGTGTCCCCCTGTCCGTTTCTATACGGACCCGAATGACCCTCTAACTTCACCTTAACCCTGAATGACGGCTGCTCGTCTGAGCTGTGTTGACTTTTGATGATATTACTATTCCCTTTTTCATTCTCCCTATCGGTATGGATTTCCTCTTTCACCTTAATGGGGTCTCCGCCCCTTTTGGTTTCCACCTCTTCGTCCTCTGTTTCGTTTAGCCTTTTCTTCTCCAGCTGCTCCTTCTTCAGCACTTTCACCTTCTTAAAAATTCCAAACTTATCCAACGTGTTTTGCGCCTCTATGACATTCTTTTTGATGAAGACCGATTTTCTCTTCATTCCTTCAGAAAGGTATTTGCAAGGAAGTGGGTGCCGATGAATCCGCAAGCGTCATTATTGGACGTGTAGAAATCAGGGCACGCTTCTTGGGTCTCCTCGCCAGGGAGAGAGAGGGGCACAAACAAGGACATACGTACTAGCGCGCATATATATGCATGTCCCTACACATACGTATAAATATGCATATATATGTACTAGTGCAGAGAAATCAACCGGGCGGGTAGAAAAAAGAAAAAAAAACACTAAAGAGGGGCTTCTCTTGGGATAAAGCTTTTACAATTTTTGCGCTGCCGATTTTTTATGTATACATGAAGCCATGTGCAAAGTTAGTGTAGGTTTTCTTTTCCCCCACTCTTTACTTCCACATTTGGAGAATGGGCACGTGAATAGCACGACAACGTTAAAGAAGAAAAAGAATACAAAAAAGCGAAACAAAGATGATGCAAAACGGCGAAAAAAAGATGATGCAAAACGGCGAAAAAAAGAGGATGCAGAAAGGCGAAAAAAAGAGGATGCAGAAAGGCGAAAAAAAGAGGATGCAGAAAGGCGAAAAAAAGAGTATGCAGAAAGGCCAAAGTGCGATGCATGCATCGCAGTAACGGCGTGCCAAATGGCAGCGCACTCATATCGTCGCCAATACCGCACTGCAGAAATGAAAGGCCCTCTTCCCTTCGCCGCACCGGGATGTTACAATGCGCCCCGAATAGTGTCTTGCTTTTTTTCGAAAAACACACGTAGAAAGGAGAAAAAGAGAAAAAAATTAAGAAAAAAAGTAGGATCATTCGAAATTGGGTACCATGTCGCAGTCAACGGGAAGGATTCTTTTTTCCTTTTTTTTTTTTTTTGAGAAAATTGCAAAGAGAGAAACACTGTCGGGTGTGATTCACATCGCCACAAACGTGTAGGCACTGTGTACGTTTCCAATTTCTCTCTCCCCCCCCTTGCTAAGTCCATCAAAATGAATGACAAATGAAGGGGAACACCAAAATTAACGAAATGTTTATAAAAACTGAGTTAAACATCATTTCCGCTAACTTGTGTACTAGGCCTCCTCCAATTTTGTCCTCCCATTTGTGACTTTGTAACGCCCCTTCCTATATTTTCTCCTGTACGTTGTTGTTTCGTGATCCCCCCTTGAGTAAAAAATTGGTACACATTCTGATACTGGGGCTTATCCGTAGCGGCATAGTTGACGAGTGCATAGGTGCATCCAAGTTTTTATTCACTTCACCCAATTTTAATATTTTCATCCCCCCCCTCCACACCGCACAAACGATGAGCAATATGCTGCACGAAGAAAAAAGCCAACATGCGCTGCACAAACATGTTGAACAACTGATACACATTTTAAACAGCACAGAAATATCAGACAAAGACAGAAAATTAAACGCCTTAAGAATAATATATGAGAAGCTGTCAGAATTTTTTACCATTTGCAAGGAAGAAGAAAAGGAAAAATTTTGTCTCTTTTTTCGCAACTATCTGCTGTGCCAGCTGCACAAATGGATTAACGAAGAATTCGATGAGTGTAGGAATTTTACTCTTGACATTTACTTTCTTATTGAAAAAAATCTTGATGATACATTGCTAGACTGTGTTCTATTTAAAAATGTCAGCAGGGATAATAATTTCCTTCATATCTGTACGAACAGATTAAAGGAAGATAAAAATAAAAAAATTATAGAAGATAAAGAAGAAGTCAGATTAAAAATTGTGCAATTTTTTAGCATTATTGTCCACAGGTTTAGGAACAAATGCGCTGACTCTGTTCCATCGGTGCTAGACATTAACCCCTATCTTGAAGATATTTTAACGGCTTTATCAGTTTTAATTAAAGACCCCTTCCCCCTCATAAAAAAAATCAGTTGCCAGTTGTTATGTGAACTATCGTTTGAAAACAAGACAAAGGACTTTAATCACGTAATTACAAACGTTTATTTCTTCATAGTCAACTTATTTTTATATCTACAGTCTGTGATGTATGTATGCAAAGAAGTACATTCTTGTGTCCCCCCTTCGCAGCTGTACAGGAGCCTGTTGAAAGGTTTGTTGACCGCCTTAGCCGTAAGACAGAATGATATTCGCGAGGTAATGCCAGATGCCGTTCGGTTGGTCTCTATGCGCCATTTGTAGGAGTGGAACTTCC